TTTTGAGTTTGTAGATATCTTGTTTAGAACTCCAGATGTAATGATTATTTATGTCAAGTACACCATAATCTGTAGAGGTTGTATAGTAGTTTATTGACTATATGAAGTGATTTTTGTAAAATATGTTGTTATTGAAATATTCACTTTTCATTACATGCAGTGATGATATTTTGATTTAACTTTTTATGAGCCATTATGGGTAGTGGTTTGATTCTTGATTTTGAATATTCTTGCTTTAGATTCTGTGTTGATGGAAGGGTGACAGCTTTTTTCTCAATTATTTATTTATTTATTTATTTTTTATTTTTTCTAACACTTATCAATCGTTATTTTGTTTCACTTATGTAGCATTTTTTGGCATTTGCTTGTAGCAGTAATGCATTGTTTTGTCATATTGTTTAGAGTTGCTCAAGGCTTTTTCAAATGCTCAAAAGTTCTGCTTCTAGGTAATTTTTGTTGAATTTTTTTTTTTTTTTTTTTTTTTTTTTTTTTTTTTTTATAGTTCTGACACAATACTGACTTCGGTTTACATGGCACCATTACTTTAATGCGGTTTGACAGTTGAAGTATAAAGGGATGGCATATATATTATCTATTAAGTCCTGTTAAAGTGGGAGGAGCTGTATTTGAGTCAAAATTCCAGATGGGTAGACGTCAGTTGATCAACTGAACAGGGGAAGGCAAAATGAGTAAAACTCGGATAAGCTATCAAATTCATCTTGATGTAGGAGTCCATGTCAGGTATGGGTGCTAATTCTGAGTATATAATTACAGGTGCCACGTAACCCGACAGTCATGGCGCGGTGAGGTGGATAATGGAGTGAGGGCAGGGAGTGTTGTGGCACCTCAAGATGGACCACTTGGCCCCTACCTCGGGGGTCAATTGGTATACCAATTGTAATGCCTTTGGGGAGTTACTGGGAAATCCTCAGCTTGCTCCCATGGAACTGGGAGGGGTGGAGGTTAGTCGGCAGTTTATTCCGCAGTTGCACATGCACTATACCACACCACAGTTATCAACTGGAGGTGTGCATTATGTGCAGGATCCTCGTAGCCTTCATAGTCCTGTTGTTGATCAGACACAGGTTAGTCAAGATGAAACACCATCAGCACTAAACTCTGGGCTTCAGCCAAGAGCACGTCCAGCCCTAGGGGAGAAGATTACTTGTCAAGAATGTGGGGCCACTTTTGCTTGTGGAGCAAATCTAAGAAATCACATGAGAATACATACAGGAGAACGCCCTTATGCGTGCGAGGAATGTGGTTTGTCCTTCACACAACGCTCAAATTTACGAAGTCATAAACGTGTACATACCGGTGAACGGCCTTATATGTGTGGAATATGCGGTCAAACTTTTGCACGGTCTTCCCATCTACCAGGGCATATGCGAACACACACTGGGGAAAAGCCTTTTAATTGTCCCCAGTGTGGCCGATCATTTGCAACCAACCAGATTATGAAAAATCATATGAGGACACACACTGGGGAGAGACCCTTTGTGTGTGATGTATGTGATGCCACTTTTGCTCAGAGCTCATGTCTAGCCACTCATAGGAAAATTCATACAGGTGAACGTAATTTCAAGTGTGGCCTGTGTGGAAAGGCATTTATATCAAGATCAGGCTTGCAGACACATGAGCGGGTCCATACTGGTGAAAAACCTTATAGATGTGTGAAGTGTGATAAGTCTTTTAAAACTTCCTCATACCTTTCCAAACATAAGCAGAAATATTGTGGCAACAACGGATACAAGAACAGGGTCCGACAGCCAGATGCAAAAAAGCCAGGTCGTAAGCCAGGAAGTAACAAAAAAGGGGGCAGTAAGGCAGCAAGCAACAAAAGGATTAGTAAGTCGAGAAAGGCCGCAAAGTCGCCTGCAAGACCAGTAAAGAGAAGCAGACCCAAACGTCTGCAGAGAACAAGAAGGTATGTGGATAGTGAGTCAGAGGTTGAAGGAATAGATGAACTGACTGCTGTGGACCAGTTAGATGAAACAGAATCCTCCTTGGTGAAGAAGAGAAGTAGCAAATCACAAGAGATGAACACAAAGGAGGAACATGAGAACGAGAAGAAAGACACAGTTGCTGAGACAAATGAACAGCAGCAAGACGAGGAAGATTCTTTGGCTTTTGAGGATAATGACCGAGAATATGATCACAGCTGGCATGCCATAGATAAAAAGTTCCCAGAAGATATGGAAGCATATGGAGATGAGGAGATGAAACCCTATGAAGACAGCAGTTTTGATCTTCAGGAATCTCACACACAAATTCCTCAGGTTCATGACCAGCTCCTATTAGCAAAAGGCATGAACAACCTCAAGGAAGAGCTAGAGCAGGGATTCCCCGAAACTTCTCCCCACACAAGAGCAGCTCTGGAACTGCATCCACCTCCGCTGGCAGCTGTACACAACCAGATCTCAGACGTGCTTCCTCCTGATGCCATCCAAGCCACAGAGGATCAGCAGCTTATCTATGTTCCTAGAAAGAGTTCAACTGC